TGAGTAATTTTTTTTCTGAAAAGGGGGCGGTAGGCCAAATAAGTTTGGGAACCTATGGACTACACAAACCAATTAATGTGTAACACGTTAGTGTGCTTTAGAAATTGCACCTCCCCCCACAGTGAACATTGCTGCTTCATGTAGGCATACCCTTAGCATCTCAAGGTTAGACCTGCTGCTGTTCAAGGCTAGACTTGACACCCAGCTGTCAGGGATGGTTTAGGCATAATGAAATCAGTCCTACCGCAACACAAGGGAATGGACTAAATGATCCTCTAAAGCTTCCTTTCAAGGCAAATGACTCTGTCAAACACATCAAAAGGAGCAGCTCAAATCTGCGGGAATTAGAGATTCCTTCACATCTAAACCCTAATAAATGCTGTGTTTTGTCTTACACAAAGGCTGTGTCTACACACTGCCACTTTCGGCACTAAACTTTAGTTGTTCAGGGATGTGAAAAAACACACCCCTGAGCGACAAAAGTTTTAGAGCTGAAAAGTGACAGTATAGACAGCACTTTATCGCCAGGAACCGCACTCCCGGCGATAAAGCTACCACCCCTCATTCGGGGTAATTATTTTTTATCGCTGGACACTGCTCGTGTCACTGTGCTGCTGTGGCCGCGCTGTAACGTGGGCAGTGTATACACACCCTTAGTGATTAATCCCAATTTAAGAGAAAAACTTTTTTGTCTTTCAGTTTTCTTATTTTCCTGGGCCCCATCCATGTTGTTACACTGCTCTAGGGAATCACAGTCTGTCCCACAAATCAATGTAATATTAGCTCCTAACACTTGATTTTCTGAAAGACTGCACCAAAGCAGTGTAGTTATGGGATCAGAAAGGGCAGGAAAGAGAATGAGACTGCCAGCTCCTCTTCACTGCTCACCTCCCAAACAGACTAGGATCCTGAAGGAGCAGCAGGTGGGGAAAACCACAAGCAGCTTGTGAACAGGGCACCTGCCCTTCAAAGAGTGTCAGGACCCAGTCCGCCTGTGACTGCCTTCTGAAGGCCCACCTAGGTGTAACCGACTGCCCTAGGTGGCTGCTTTAGGGTTACTTAGTAAACAAGCTGACCTAACAACAACATGGAGCTAACAAAAGTGTCACCCAAGCTCAGTTAGCAAAGGCACTCCTGAGAAGACAGGAAACTCCTGTACCAAGGGTCTGAGCTCCCAGGAGAGCTTACCAGAGTAGAGAGCCTAGAGGTCTGCTCCTGGAGACAGGGGACCTGTTGGAGAACACCCCTCAGCTGTGTTCCTAGAGATAGGCCCCCAAGAAGGCCGGGTCTCAATAAAGGGATTTCCCAAACAGAAGCAGGAAGCCCAGCCTGTCAGGAACTATGTGCTGCCCTGGGGAAGAGCGGCAGATCTTCATGCCCCTCTGGCTCTGGAGATGGATTCTACCCAATAACGGCTCTGGCTCTGGCTCCAGGGATAGAAACCTGAACTGAGAGTGCCCTGCTGGTAAAGAGCCAGGACAAAGGCTACCAGTGGATTCAGGTGTGGGAACGGATGCTCTACAATTAACCCGGTCTCCCAGCTAAGACATTGGGGTGGAGGTTTGCTTATGTTAGATGTTGGCCTTTTCTCATTAATAAATGAGACCCTTCGGGAGGGGCGGTGCACATAGTACCTGAAGGCCTGTTTAGACTTGCTTATACCCCAGGTGAGGGGAAACCAAGGCAGGGCTTGCCCATGGTACCACCCCTGACTGCAAGGGGGTTATCGGGGGGCCTGCACTGTAATGCAACCTCACCCCAACTCACCACAGAGGTAACAGTTCCACCAGCTTCTTCCCAGGAACAGCCTTTCAGAGACTTTGAATCCATTGAAGGATGTTGCAAGCAGGCCCAGCAACAGCAGCAATGGGACCAGATGGATAATGGAGTGCAGCGTGCACACACTGCTTATAAAATATGCAGATGACACCAAGCTGGGAGAGGTTGCTAGGACTAGAATTCAAAATAACCTTGACAAATCAGAGTATTGATCTGAAATCAACACGATGAGATTCAGTAAAAACAAGTGCAAAGTACTACCCCTTAGGAAGGGGGGAGAAATCAAATGCACAGCTACAAAATGGGGAATAACTGACTAGACATTAGTACTGCTGGAAAGGATGTGGGGGTTATGGTGGATCACAAATTGAATGCGTCTGACGAAGTGGGCATTCACCCACGAAAGCTTATGCTCCAATACATCTGTTAGTCTTAAAGGTGCCACAGGACCCTCTGTTGCTTTTCACAAATTGAATGAATCAATAATGTGATTCAGTTGCAAAAGGCTAATACCATTCTGGGGTGTATTAGCAGGAATGTCATAGGTAAGACATGGGAGGTAATTGTCCAGCTTTACTTGGTAGTGGTGGGGCCTCAGCTGGAGCACTGTCTCCAGTTCTGGGTGCCACACTCTGAGAAAGATAGGGACAAACTGGAGAGTCCAGAGTTAAAAATGAAAACGATAAAAGGCTTAGAAGACCTGCCTATAAGGAAAGGTTTAAAAAAAACACTGGGCATGTTTAGTCTTGAGAGAAAAAAAGACCCGGGCGGGGGCAGAGGGTGCTAATAACTCTTCAGATATGTTAAGGGCTTTTACAAAGAGGATGGTGATCAACTGGTCCTTGTGTCCACTGAAGGTAAGATAAGAAGTAATGCGCTTTATCTGCACCAAGGGAGCTATAGCGCATGTATTAGGAAAAACTTTAACTATAAAATGACCTAAACTGCCTCATAGATTTCCACTGTAACTTCAACTACCACCATCAATCCATCCATTTCCACTCTCCCTAGAACACTCCCACACCAGCATCAACTTCCTGGTTACCACGAACAGCTTCAACAATGGAAACCTGCAGACAACTATACACAAGAAACCCATGAATTACCACACTTACCCCCACAGATCCAGTAACCACCCCAGACATGCCATAAAATCTGTCATTTACAACCAGGCATTCAGAATATGCTCTGAGGAGAAAGTCCAGGATACACACCTTAACAGGCTTAAAACCACCTTCACCAAACAAGAACATTCCAGAGAAGTAGATCACATCATGGAATGGACCACCTAAATACCTCAAGAGAACCTGCTCCACTACAGAAAAAACCAAACCAAACCAAACAAAACCCCCTCCACCGACTGCACACCCATAGCGGTCACCTACCACCAGGGCTGGCTTTAGGGAAATGGTGCCCAGGGTGAACTTGTATTTTGGCGCCCTTGGTCCCCATGGGCGTGGTCCCCCACATTGCCCCGGCCCCCATGAGCTCCCCAGGCTTCCCACCCCTCTTTGCCGCTAACCCCTGCACTTCCCCCCTTCGCCCCCTCCTGTGCCCTAACCCCTGCATTGTGCCCCCTTCACACCCCTTCTGCACCCATGTGAGGAAACGGACCTGGATCTATGGAGCATCTGGCATTGCTACTCGCCCCTCCCCCTCCAAAACTGCTCCTCCGCACCCCCCTAGGAGGCTGGGGGGGAGCGAGGAGCGAAAATCAGGGTTCTCTGCATCCAAGTCACTTTCCCTACTTGGGCTGCGCAAGGACAGGGCAGGAGAGCAGCAACTCCTGATCCTCGTCGTGCAGAATTCTGGGCCTGAATCTCCAGTGCTTTTACATTGGTACAATGCAGTGGTGAATCAGGCCCCTCCAAGCTTACAGATGGTCCCACCCCTGAACTATCAGCATCCAAATCTGTTTTCTGTCTTTTTGTTGCTTTTGACCAGTCAGTCTCTATCTGCTAAGTAAACAGCCTGGGGTTAAAATAGCCCGCTTTTTCTCAGCTGCTTATCATGGGGATTACAATCTACCACATTTATTTTACATCTGGTCAAAACTAAAAAGCTGCAACATGAAAAACTCTTATTTTTGCTCACAAGCATGTAATGTGTGTATACCCTGTACATGGTCATGATGGATTACATGTTTATACATACTAGAGCTAGCCACAAGCATCTTAGTTTGGGCTGTGCAAGTCTTCAAATACATTCAAGAATTCCCAGAGAATAGCTACTGAGAGATGAAAAACATTGGTCCAATTCATCCTTGGAGTGCCACCACTGAAGTCCTTGGAGTTACAGGGGGGATGAATTTGGCCCTGTGCACATAGGGTTAGATCCTGCAAGGTGCTGAGCACTTGGGCCCGGTCCAGCATATACTTAACTTTAAGCAGGAGCACAGTCACACTGAAGTTATTGGGATTATGTGTGTAAATGCTTTGCAGAATCCGGGTCACAGTGCTTAGCATCTTGCAAATTCAAATCCATGAAGCATTGTTGGAGCTTGAATGAAATGTGTTATTACTGCTATTATTAGTTGTTACTTTGTACAACAGATTTGTGCACAGTTCTTTACACGAATGAAGACAGAGGAATTAATTAGAAGAATAAATAATGAAAGAAAGAAGCAAAATTTTATTTCAAATATTCTTAGATTTGCTGCTCCTGGTGGTGGGAGTTGGTAAATTACAAAGGATAGACCAAGTAACTACTACTATTACCAACAATAAATACATCTCCATTCAGCAAAAAGAAAGCTGCAGCCCTGTGTACCACAGTCATAAACTTCTTGTGGATTCTTGTTCACAACTATCTGCATTGGAGTTATGATCAAAACCCCCAGTAAATACAGCTGGCCAGGTGAAGTGGGTACTTAAAAGGAGAGCTGTAGCCAATTATGCAAGAAAGATAAGGGTGGATCAAACATTGTTCTTGGGTGTGTGGGCAGACAGCTGACACTGAAGACAACCAGAGCCACTCATGCATGCATTCCAGAGGAAAATCAGGCTCTGCGTTACTCGTTCTGTCGACCAACTAGAGGATATATCTCTTCCATCTTATTCTCTAAAGTCTTCTCAGACAGGAAGTAGATCAAATGAGCCGTATGATATGAACATCCATAAAACGAAGCAGTAGAGCAGTAGCATAGCCCTAACTGACAGGTTGTGTATCACACAATCCATACGGTCCATCGTAAACCTGTCTGCAATCTCACTGTCCTTTCACACAGGTGTGTAATTGGACTTTGAAATGGCAGGTTTAAGGGTGATTCTACCAACAGGGAACACAAATTCTAATCTTGGGTCTGCTTCTATACCTTGGGCACATCAGTTCACATCTCTGTATCTCAGGTTCCCCATCTGTAAAATGGAAATATTAATATTTTCCTTTGTAATATTCATGTTGTGAGGGATATTATGTTAACATTTGTGAAGTACAATCAACATATAAATCACTATTATGACTAGTACAGCTTTATCTATAGATTGAGTACTACCTCCTGCCAGCATTTGGAAGGGCCAACTTGAAAGAGTAGTTTAACCTCTATGTCCATTTAAAGCTACATCCTGTACTCTGGGGGCATTCTGCGCCAAAAATATTAAAAATTCTGCACACAATATTTTAAAATTCTGCAAATTGTATTTGTCAAAATAACACTACATAATCACACCAGTTTCAATTATTTTGGTAATTTATTTCAAAATACCTGTCAGCAAGTAGGTCTGTAACAATACAGCAGTGGTCACCAACCGGTCGATTGTGATCGACTGGTCGATCCTAGAGGATCTCCCAGTCGATCATGATCTCCGGCAGTGCAGCAGGTCTGCCGCTAAGGATCCCTGCCTTAGCCCCGGCCCCACGCCATTCCTGGAAGCAGCCAGCGCGGCCCCACAGGTGCGGGGGCAGAGGTCTCCCACCGCACACCGCTCCTGCCTGCAAGCACCATCCCCACAGCTCCCATTGACAGGGAATGGGGAGCTGTGGCCAATGGGAGCTGCGGGGGCGGTGCTTGCAGAGAGAGGCAGCTCGCGGAGCCACGTGCCCCCATCCCCAGGCACTGCAGGGGCATGTTGGCCTCTTTCAGGAGCAGCGTGGGGCCGGGGTAGGCAGGGAGCCTGCCTTAGCGGCAGCCATACTACACCACCAACTGGGAGTGAGGGTGGAGGAGAGTGAGTGATGGAGGGGGGGGATGGAGTGG